GAGAGAGAGAGAGAGAGAGAGAGAAACATTATTTCATATTCATGTTTTACGGTGGTTTCAAATGGTGGGGGTAAAGCCCACAGAGTTCACGTCTTGTCGGCGCTCGTGCTCAAAAATGAAAATTCTGCCGGATGCCACCTTCCGGAAATAACTTTGTCTTGGTGATGAGCGACGACGACGCTGGGAAGCAGCAACGTCAAATCCCCTGGAAACAAAAAAAAACTTATTAATTACGTCATCATTCATCATTATGGTCACGACGTTAACAGTAATAATAATAATAAAAAACTTGTAAATCCGTCAACACGAGTTTGTTATCATATCCTCCGGTCAGCAGGTAATAAGCGCTCGGTGAAAACCTTATCGATCTTATGTTTGACGAATGAGGTTTGAAACATTGAACGTTTCTCCCGCTGCGAATATCGTACAAAACGCACGAGGAATCATCATGTCCGGATACCAGGAGTCGTCCGAATGGATCGACGCAAACGGCAGCAACAGGTGAACCCTGAAATCGTAGTAAAAACAAAAATTAATTAATTTTCCGGTTGTAGATTTTTGTATTCATCAAAACAACGAACGCCGGAAATGAGTTCTTGACGCTAAAAAAATTTTTTTTTACCCTGTTTCCGGGAGCCGTGACCATGTTAACCATGTTAACGCATCCGCGTACTCTCAAATTCCAAAATCGAACCGTTTTATCTTGACTTCCGAATAAGAACATGGCTCCGTCCCAGTTGTACAATGATAATACGTGTCCTCCGTGACCCGCGAGAGCTTGGTACGGACTTCTCGTGGCACAATCAGTGACGTAAATTTTACAACCTCCCGCTCCGCCGCTTATGAGCAAACTCGATTTGCTCGACGTGTCTTCTAGAAAGCACAAATCTCTCACCGTTCCGTCGTGCACGGACAATTCCATTTCTTGACCCTCGAGATTCGACGTTTCCGGATTGAATTTCATGAGTTTGACCGTTTTGTCGTTGCCTCCCGTTGCCATGAGGTCTATCGGAGTCCACGCCTTGCAGTATATCGAAGCCTTATGATGACGCGTTCGCTTGAATAAAATGTCGA